CTAGCTCCAACTAGGCATTGAGGGAAAGTTGCAAAATTCACAAGTTAAATAGCTACCTTCCTCCCTCCCTCCCTCCTTCCCTCCCTCCTTCCCTTCCTTCCTTCTTGACTCCCTTTCTTTCTCCCTTTTCCCTTCCTTTTTTTCCTTTTCTCTACTGTGTTAATACACCTGGCCCTTCATATCTATGAGTTCTGCATTCACAGAGTCAGTCAACCGCACACTGAAAGTATTCAGAAAAAAAAATGTGTTTATACACTCTGCTACAGACTGTTCCTTTATCCTGAGTCCTCACACCATGTGACCATGACATAGCATTTACATTGTATTAGTTTTTGGAAGTGATCTGAGACAAATTAAAGCGTGTGGAGGAGTGGTGAGTGGGTTATGTAAAAGTGCTATTCCATTTTATATAAGGGACTTGAGTGTGAATTTTAAATTAGTCCCCATAAATACCAAAGGACAGTTGTATTTATTTCCCCAGTTCAACGGGTTCCAGGGCACCGTAGAGATGTGCATGAGCTGGATTCTCACACAGCTGGCCTAGTACCTTTGTCTTTTCCATTCTCTCTCATCTGATTGGCTTAGGAAGGAAATCCTTTGAATTGGTGATGCAGGGCTTCCCAGACCCCACTTGTGGGCTGTCACATGTCCCCTCCTGCAGCTACCCTTTTCATGGTCAGTGCACCCCCACAGGCACTGAAAAAACATCACTCATTAGAAATCATCAAATAATAAGTTCTCCTGTGATCAAGAACACAGAACTTGCTCCAAAAGCAGTATTTACATCAGAGCTATCTTTTATTAAAAACGCTTTTCCTACCTAGCTAGCTCATTGGCTGTAGGCACATTTTTTTTTCTTTATTTCTTTCCTATAAGGTTACAAGAAACATTTGGCTCAAGGCAAGGTCTTACAAACATTTGCTTTTACAGTTGCTCAGTGTTTAAGGGGTCCTTTCTGGATGGTGTTGCTAGCTTATTTCTAGCTGAGTAATCTTTTTTTTGCCCCTCACCAACCTGTATCAGTAGATCTGTTCATAAAGGGAGAAACATTGGCCATCTACAGTAAACATCCCTGAGAGGAGTTGCTGGCGCCATGGTAGTGGACTCTGATTTCAGGTTTGCTGACCTCTATTAGTTGCCATAGTGATGAGCTGAGCTCTGCTTAATAGAGCTTTACCAAAATAAAGACGATCAATAGCTTTTGAAGGCTAATGTTTATGTTGGTGGCTCCTAATAGGAGATATCAAAATTAAATGTAGTTATATGAATGCCTCCAGCGATAGGATTGAAGTTAGAAGATGTTAACGTGTGGAAACAGGTATTTAAAAAAAGACCTAATTCAGAAGATGAATACATTCGGCAGCTTTTTTTGAACACCTAGAATCCTTTGTGAGTATACAGAAAAATAGAGATCCTTATAGAATGGATGGGGATGTTCTTTTACAACAGCAGATTTCAAAAGTCACATGGACTTGGTTAAGGAGTTCTGAAGCCAAGTTGTCAGAGAACACTTTTAGCACCCATTGAAGAACACTCCAGGCCAAGCTTTCTCCATCTACCCGTGTAACCGCTAATGATTCCAGAGGAGTTTGGGAATATACAAGGTACGTGGTGGCCAGTTAAGGTTTACTGTGGAAGCAGAAGAGCCTGGCCTGTGCTTGTGAGCCTTTTACTCACTGAAAGCTGATGGCAGCTGCTGGGACTAAGAAGAAACCCTGAGGAGGAGTCTGATGCTTTTACTTTTAAAACTAATAATTTTCAAAGGTTTCTCATATATATATTTGCTATATCATGAATGAAATGCAAATATCATTAATGCACTAAGCTCTCTGGTTTTGACAATAAAAAGGAAAGACATCTGAGGGGTAGCATAATTCACAAAGCCCACTGTCAGCCATTTATTTGGACTCTAAAGTACAGGTGTTATACCCTCAGTGGACGGTCCCTGGACCTTTCCTAGCTGGACAGAGTCAACTCTGTGTGTGGGGGTGCAGTTATCTCAAGGTACAGCATGAGAGGGAGGCAACCCACAACCACATAGGACTTCTTTTTCTCCAGAAGTTTGGGATGATCTTATTGGTGTTTGAGAACTCACATCTCCCCAATTGTGTTGCAACAATCTGTCAAGTACATATCAAGGCTTATTAAAAACAAAAATCAAGGGCTGGAGAGACGGCTCCATGGTTAAGAGTGCGTACCTCTTTTTCAGAGGACCTGGGTTCAGATCGCATCACCCACACTGGACAGTTCACAACTGTCTGTGACTCCAGTTCAGGTGTTCCTCCACCCTTTTCTGGCCTCCCTAGGCAACTGCATGCATATGGTGCACATTTGGTATATACAAGCACACACACATACATATAAATATACATAAATACAAGTTTTGAAAAGCAAAACAAGCAACAGAAATCAGCACTGCTGGAGAGAAGACATGACTATAAAATTGAAGAGGCAATCCTCAGTGAGCCTTAAGAAAGCAAACAGCATACAAGTCAGTTTCAGGGGGGTGGGGCAAGTGAACTGCTTAACTACAGAAAGTGTCTGTCATCATGAATGTTTTATGTGTCACTGTTTTTGTAAATTTAAAAGAAAAATCTGAAGTGCAAGATGAACTTTCCATTAAAAAGATGGCTACAAATAATTATATCTTTCCCTTATGTGTATATGTGTGTGGTATGCATATGTGTATGTATGCTTGCTCAAATGTGTGTGTGTGTGTGTGTGTGTGTGTGTGTGTGTGTGTGTGTGTGTGTGTGAAGGCTAGAGGTTGGTATCTGGTGTCTTCTTTGGTCAGTCTCCACTTTATATATTAAGGCAGGGTCTCTCACTGAACCCAGACCTTGGTCACTTGCCTCGTCTAGTTAGGCAGCCTGCTCCACGGAGGATCCTGGGTTACCGGCCGGCAGGCCTTCATGCCCTCTTATCTTCTAGATGAGCTCTGAGCTCTGTTCCTTACACTTGGCAGCGAGGTTTGGCCCATGAAGCCACCTCCCCTGGCCCTAATTATGTCTGTCTCTTACTTGGTTTCAGCGATCACATTGAGGTTTCTATGAGAGAGATCTTACTTACCAGGGATAAACTAGTCAAACGTTCTGTGACCCTGATGGTTGGTTGAGTCCTCCTTACTGAGGACCTGCTATGTGTCAGACACTGTTGTAAGCACTGGGGATTCAGTTAGGAGTACTGCAGGCTGCTTCCTCCTCATCCTCAGAATCAGATAATAGATGGATGAGCTAATGACCTGACAGCCATGTGGTGATGTTTGCCCAGAAGGAGGGCATAGCAAGGTTCCAGAAAGTGAGTGGAGACTAGGAAGAAATTCTCAAAATCTTTCAAACGTTTTTTTAAAATTTTTTAAATTTTGAGATGATTAAGTCATGTAGCCAAGACTGGCCTTGAGCTTTCATTCTTAGTGTGTCTGGGAGAACAGGTTTGTTGCTGGGGGCCCAGCTCCATGAAAGTACTTTTTGGTAGGGCTGTTAGATGTTGCCTTCCGCCAGGCTTGTCGACCTGGACTTCTGGCAGGTCTCCATTTTCATTCTTCTTACTCCAGCGTCTATTGACACAGTGGCCACTCAGAATAAAAGTTTGACCATATCTCAAAACCACCACAGTTTCCTCGTAAAATGAAACCCCTACTCTTTCCCTCAGCCACACGAGGTTTCCCCTTAATTCCTCGATCCCACGTCCTCGTCTCCTCCCTTGCAGTCCAGGACATGCTTTTGAGCTGACCACACAGGTGCCCACCCCTGGGTCCCCTGCACTAGCTTTCCCCCACGCTGGCACCATGCATCCCTGCCTGCCATTCAGTCTTGCTTTGTTCCATTGTCTCCATCAGAGAGTCCTGCTAGGACCACTCAGTCTGGAGTGACATCTTGCTCTCACCATGTCGTCTCTGCTGATTCATCCTCGTGGCACGTATCCCCTCTTCCACTCAGGCTACACAGCCCTCTGCTCAGCTGTCCACATCTGTGGGAGTGCACATGGTTGGAGACCAGGGATCGGGCTCTTCACTTACCATTTTATTTCCAGCACCGGGAATAATAGCAACACAGTCCAAGAGCCTGATGATGATTTGTGGAATTAATGAATGAATGGATGGATGGATGGATTTGCTGTAAGGACAGGACTGTGGAAGAACAAACAAGAAAAATGAAAGTATCAAATATTTGGGGGGGGGGGTTTAAAAATCTCCCAAGCCAATGCTTTTTATAATCTCACCCCTGCCTCCCATTGCCGTAGCAAGAGCTGCACTCACCTCTCAGTCTTCTGCTTATCTTTGCTTGCACCGTGGTATTTGCCAATGAACTTAAATCCATACTTTTATGGCCGCATACTCTAGGTGAGGAATTTTGGTGACTGCACTTGGAATTTAATGTTAGTACTTTAAAACTATTTTCTTCAACTTACAAATTATCGAACGGCCTTCACTGTGAAATTTTCACACAGATATGTCGTTATGCCTTTGGCACGCGCCTGTACTTCCAGGACTGGTGAGATGGGAGCTGGAGGATCAACAGTTCAAGTTCATCTGTGGCTACATAGTTTCAGGCTAACCTGGGTTATATGAGACAGGTTATACCTGTCTCCTCCAAAAAAGTAAAATAATCTTTGGTTTTAGAATTACTACAACAACATTCTCAAATATTTACTACAAATATTACAGAAAATATTATACAAAGCATTACAGAAAAATACTTTTTTTTTTTTTTTTTAAGAAAATGTCAAAAACGTTTTTCCGGGTGGTGGTGGCACACGCCTTTAATCCCAGCACTTGGGAGGCAGAGCCAGGCGGATCTCTGTGAGTTTGAGGCCAGCCTGGTCTATAGAGCGAGATCCAGGACAGGCTCCAAAACTACACAGAGAAACCCTGTCTCGAAAAACAAAAAACAAAAACAAAAAAAAGTTTTACATGAGTTGATTTATGACTTCTCTCTTTTCTTTCTCCCTCTCTCCTTCCCTCTGTTTCTTTCTTCCTTTCCTTTCTTTTGAAACTGCAGTATCGCCGAATGCCCCCAGACTCGGCCCCACGGAGCTGACGGTGGTTATCACCGTGCCTGTTTGCCTGCTCTCCATAGCTGCCATGCTGACAATATGGGCATGCCAGGACCGCCAGTGCACGTACAGAAAGACCAAGAGACACAACGTGGAGGAGCCTCTGGCAGAGTACAGCCTGGTAAACGCGGGGAAAACACTCAAAGATTTGATCTATGACGCCACTGCCTCCGGTTCAGGCTCTGGTATGTGTATGTTTTCAGTAAGCAAACACTTATTTAAAAATCAATGAACAATCTTTTTGCTCAAAGTGTCCAGTGTGAACTCATCAGCTAAAGTGCTCGATGAGGTACATAATGAATAAACTCACGAATAGAAATCTCCTTAAGGATTACATGTAAATCGTCTACAGGAGCAGATTTTCATATAGTTTTTCAAAAGGCCTTTAGGATTAGCTGTACTTCCACACATTCTCTCCTTTACCCTGCTCCTCCCCCACTTTAATCTTGTTTTAGTTCTCCTTTATCTCTTCATAAAACTACATTCCGTTTCCTTGTCCTCTTTTCTTTTTAAAGAGAGACAGACAGACAGACACACACACACACACACACACACACACACAGGGGAGCATGGAGTTGGGTGGGGAGGAGTTGGGGGAGGAGAAAACATGATTAAAGTATATTGTATGAATAATTTAAAAAATCCTACTTAAAAAAAAAAAGCATTGTCATGATAGAGTCTTCTCCAATGTCTGCTGCAGCTTTCTGGGGGCCGATGTCTGTTTTTATTCCTTGCGATTTGATTCTTTGTTCATTTCTCTTGGCTTTTGTGTCGTCCTCTGCCTCCTCCATGGTCAGAGCTGTCACTGCTGCTTTCTCCAGCTGTTTAATAGAAACAGAGGAGTTAGGGGTGTTGGGTTTAAGTCCACCAGACACAGGGAAATGTGTTAGATAACAAAGCAGTGTTCCTTGTGGATATTTGTTTGTGGTCACTGAGGCCTTCTGGATCTGGAGGCAACCCCACCCCCAGATGTGCTTTCAAAGCTAATAAGGAGCTGCCCTTTAACTCAACATTATATTCTGGAAGCCAGGAAATGGGAATCTGAAGGAAGCTCACGGCAGTCCTAGCTGGCTCCTGTGGCTCAAAGTTATCTAGTCACTGTTGCCATATTGTTACCAATACCTTTTCTTCTTTAATGGATTCAGACGACTGATGAAGTAGTTCCAAGGGCCAGACTGCATCATGGAATAAAAGAGCCTTTTTCATAGCACAAAACACTTCGGGGAGTTGGGGCAGAGCAGGATTTCCCTGCAGTTACAAGGACTCCTCTCTTCCCATCTGAACTTCTAGAGACTCTTGGCCCTTGGCTTTGCAAAAATATGACCAAGAGGATACTCAGACAAGCCACTTCAGAAGCTCCTACATCTCTTCTTGCTTTAGAGAGATCATTAGTGCCATTCATTATTCCAACCGGGGTTGGATGGTGGTACCTGTCTGTATTCTCAGTTAGGGATGCTACAGTAGGAACCTCCCACGTTAGAGACTAACCCTGGGCTTTGTAGTAAAATCTTGCCTTGAAAAACATGAAAAGAAAGGAAATAAAACAAAACACACAGCTTTGAGGAACTCTCCCACTGGTGGGTGTGAGTAGCACCCAGGCAGACACAGTTAACAGAGGCAGGTGGGGAAACAACATCACATTTGTATGGCCACCCATATCTAATAGGAAGCACTCTGGATATATCAGAAAGGACCACAATTTTGCTGACCAGAAAAGTCTAATGGTCCAGGCTGTCACTGTAACATCAAGTGAGAAGTTTTTACAAAGGAAACCATGAAAGAAAAATCCCGAAATTACAAGCATTTAAAGTTGGAATCCAAATTACGTCACTGTGTAGAAGACTTATCTTTAAAGCAATATTCTTCAGTATTTAAACTCAGCTTCTTGGGATATTATATGTTGAGACCTATTATATGCCAAAATTTTGAGTACTGCCAACATTATAGGCACAAAGAACTCTGATTTATGCTTAGTTTCTAGAAACACATTTCTTTATCATTCTCAAAGGACCGAACAACCTTCTACTTATTACCCACAGAAATATTTTCATTCACTTGATGATATTAGGTCCTATCCTAGTTCGTCTTTATTGTCAACTTGACACAACCTAGAGTCATCTGAAGGGACAAGCCTCAGCTGAATGATTGCCTGGGTCATGTTGGCCCATGGGCGTGTTTATAGGGGAATTGTCCTGATTGCTAAGTGATGGAGGAGAGCACAGCCCACTGTAGGTGGTACCAGCCATGGGCAGATGGTCTTGGGCTGTACAAGAAAGCTAAATGAGAACAGCACAGAGAGTTTCGAAGCAAGCAATGTTTCTCCATAGTTCCTGCCTCCAACCTCCTGCCTTGATTTCCTGCCCTGACTTCCTTCAATGATGAACTGTGATCTGCAAGTGTAAGCCAAATAAATCTTTTCCTCCCCTATGGTGCTTTTGGTCATGGTGTTTATATATTATCCTACTCTCTAAGTGTACTGAATCTGACCAATGGTTTCTCCTCCATGTAAAAATAATACAAATTAATACACAGAAAACTAGATATTTAATTTAAGAAAGGAGTAATGAGCTGGCAAGATGGCTTACTGGGTAAAGGCCCTTGCCACCAAGACTGAAGACCTGAGTTCGTTTCCAAAGACCCACATGATAGAAGGAGAGAGCCAACCCCTATAGGTTGTTCTTTGACTACACAGTCCTTACGGTACTCTCCCCCCCCACACACACAACTAAAGAAATGCTATTACATTTTTTAATAAGCACCATGAGCTGAACATGAAAATCAAAATTTTGACATGTGGCACAGACCTAGATTAGTATAGTTCTTATCCCTCATCAAGGAAGCATTTTTTTCCAGCAGATGGAGACCATTACAAAGAGTTACAACTGTTCAAAACCCATAAATAACTGATGCCAGGGTGCTCAGCTCTAGGGCATACATCTCTAACACAACTCCTACACCTGAGGCTCAGGGAACATCACAGAAGATGAGGAGGAAAGATTGTGAGAATCAGAGGACCAGGAAGTCTTCTATGAGATTGTGTCTCCTAGAAATGGCAGGGAAATGTCATATATGATACCTCAACTACATGGCTGCCTGAACAAGATCTGAACAAGGACAACACCAATAAACATGCTAACATGGAAGGGGAAATCTCATGGAGCCTCAAATCTCATGGGACCCCACGCTTAGACAAACACCACATGGACTCATTGGGTTGTATTTATATATGTTATACATGTAACAAAAAAAATAAAGAAAAATTCATGTTAAATGTTTTTAAAACTGTATCTTTGAACATGAATATGAATCTGTTGGCTTCTGGATTCTTCCTTTTGAGATTATACTAAGACATTTTGCCGAAGGAAGAAGAAAACCATACACAAGGCCAGATAATTTCTTTTTATTTTTGCTGTGAAGATTAAACCCAGGCCTCACACATCACAAACAAGGCAAGTGTTCTTTCTCTGAACTACATCCTAGGCTTTGTATGTGTGTGCTGTGGGGAGGGGAGTCACTAACTTGTCCAGGCTAGCCCTGCCTCAGCATCCCAAATAGTTGAGGATACAGGCCTGCATCACCAGGTTTTGCTCCTGAATACATTTTCTTAAGGACACATTCGAACAAGCTTTAGGCATTTTTGTCTCTGTTAAGCCAGTTTGTTTGGCGGTAACCCTTAGCTCAAAGCACATGCCTTTAATCATCAGAGAACAGGTTTACCTTCGGCAATGCTTCTGCCACAATAGCTTGCCTGTGGGGAGGACACTGGACCAGCCTGCTTTCTTCCTGCCTTTCTCAATTGGCTGGTGACCTTGAAATCTGAGGCAGCTTTGTCGGATATTGAAAAACCCTGATTACGAAGCTTAGCCCTGACCAGGTCTGGGACAAATTTCAAAGAGATGGAGAGCCTGCAAAGTGAAAATAAATGATGTTTTATTGGACCAAGCTTGAGAGTGGGCTCTGTCTCAGGCAGCTTTCACGGAAGTAGAAAGTCTGCTTCTTTGTCTTATGGTGGAATGTTCTGACAGATGGGGACACAAGCCAGACATCAGCTTCTATAATCCCTGGAGAAAAGATTAAAATGAACTCATGGCAAGAGTCAAAGTTTCTGTTCAAATGCAGCCTGAAGCTGTGTAGCACAAAAACTACTCAGATTCACTTTGTTCTTTGCTTTGGAAGGTACTGAGTCAGCTGACGCAGCATCTCCCCAGCTCACCCCACTGGTCCCCTTACATGATGTGATGTCCTTTGTCTGCCAATTGGGTGTTGCATTAACTGCAGTGTGAAAACACCGTCTTACTGGTTTCTTTCTTTTTTTGTCAGTGATGATGTGGGGAGATTTGACTTAATAATTAAAACAATAATTTGGGGCCAAAAACATTGGCGGAAGCCTAGAAAGATAATGGCTCTTTGTTGTCAGATGTCTTCCTTCCCACAGAAAGGAACACAGGTCTGTCCTCATATGGGGGACAAAGCATTCTGGGTCAGCCTTCAGCAGCAGCAGCAGACTCTCTTTAAGTCTGATTATTGTCGGGCTTCAATGTTCTCATCGATAAATGATGAGGTTGAACCAGATGGTTCCAAAAGAACTTTCGGACTGTGGGGCTTGGTGACTAATTGTTGAGGCTCATACCAGTGAATTTATAGTCTGTGCCTATTTACCATTGTGGGTGGTTCTCCTGGAGATGAGAACATCTGTGTAAACACTGGCTCATTCTTGGATCAGGGGACAATGCCCCCAAGAAGCCACATGGCATTACTTTCTCTAGCCACCTGAGGACAGTGACAATAACCCAGCTGGCATTCTAGAATACACTCATCTTGTAGCCTCTTTAACTATTTGCTTTCTAACAATACAATTATAGGAATAATAAAACCTTCTTATGGACCTTACGTTGAAAATACAGCAAATGAGAAGGAAGACTATTATAACTCACTCTGATTCCACCAAATGGTTCCATCTTTTGTCTGTGCAGTTTGAAAAGCTATACACTCATACAGATAAAATTTACTACACTGTTCTCATTTAACATTGTAGCAGAGCAGATTCCAGTGTCATTGGAATGCGCTTTATTAGCAGCAGCATCAGTGTTAATCTTAGATGATTCATGCTGATGTTTCTGTAAGATTGAGGGTGACCATTATTGATCAGGCATTATGCCCGGTATAGTGCTAATTCCTTAACCTCCTTATTAACTCTCAGACTGTCCCATTTCCCGGAGAATGGTGCTAAAGCTCACGGAAGTTAAGTAACCTGACCATGGTGACTAGATGTTGTAGGTGAAACTGGAACCTAGGTCTTTACTTTTCTGTGCTTGTGTGTCTGCATCATATTTCACAAATGTCTTCTTACTTGAAAGGTTTCCTTTTTGTTTAATATTGATAACAATGTTGTATTTGATATTTTTACATGGACTCTCTACATTTTGAGTTAATTCTATAGGATAGAATTTTAGAAGTAGAGTCACTATTTTAAAAATGACAACCAGTCTGGGCATGGTGGTAGGCATCTTTAGTCCCAGCACTTGGGAGGCAAAGGCAGGCAGGTCTTTATGAGTATGAAGCCAGCTTGGGCCATATAGTGAGGTCCAGGGCAGCCAGGGATACATAGTAAGACCCTGTCTCAAAACAACTACAACAAAAAATTATGAGCATTATACATATCCACAGAACAGGTTTTCCTTGAATTTGTTTATTTCACAGATAACATATTCTTACTGTAACGTGCTTATCTCACTCAGTCATTGAATTTGATTCCTTACATGCACATTTTAATTTTGTTTTGCAAAAAAAAAAAATCCACAAAAAATTCTTTTCCTTTCACAGTAGTACAGGAGCCATGCATTTTATTTTAAGTGTTAGCCATGCATGTTTTTCCTTTGAGTCCTTAGTAATCGGACTGGCTTTATGGGAAATTCAGGGGATTTGCCACAATTCTTAGAAAGTAGATATCTGCAGCAGCAGGCTGTGTTCAGAAAGCTTTGTTTGTGAGTAAGAGAAGAGAAATTAATAATTTAGGACATTTTATAGGTCATGCCTTGTCATTAAAGTTTGTTGTATTGATGCTTATTTCGTCAACTTTAATACAATTGCTAATGTGCTTAGGTGTTCGCTTTTTATGTAATAGCGACCATCACTGTGACTTTTGTTTGGAATGACTGGTCTGCCTCTCCTTTGACTAGGTCTGCCTCTTTTGGTGCAAAGAACAATTGCAAGGACTATTGTACTTCAAGAAATAGTAGGAAAAGGTCGATTTGGGGAAGTGTGGCATGGAAGATGGTGTGGGGAAGACGTGGCTGTGAAAATATTCTCCTCCAGAGATGAAAGATCTTGGTTTCGGGAGGCAGAAATTTATCAGACAGTGATGTTGAGACATGAGAACATCCTTGGCTTCATTGCAGCTGACAACAAAGGTAAGGTCGCTCTCACCACGGTCAGCAAGAAAAATGTCAGATTGCATGTGAGATAGAGGGGAGCCATCACACTGACTCCAGAAAGCACACACCAGTCGATCTTCTTTATCAAGAAAATTATCTTCTGTTTTCCAACAAGTAAATGCCCGTAACCAAGCAGTGAAGTGCAGCAGCAAATGGTCAGTGTGGAGTCGTGATAATGCAGTGAAGCCTGTGTTTCAAAATATTAGATAACTGGTACTGGTCAGGGACCAGCCATTTGCAACTGGAGCCGGTCCTCAGGAAACCTACTGGTCTAGTTATCCCGTCTTCAGTCACCCCGGGTCATGCAAACATCTAGAGGCATCTTGGACTGTGGAGGGCATTTGGGTGTGCTGCAGTGGGATGGCATTAGAACTTGGAGTGGCTGCTGTTTACCAGCTGGCATGGAATCTGTATCACAGGCGTTGTGTGTACAGTTTTCAGCATATGTCCCCTCCAGAATGAGAGAACGGGGCAGGAGATTGGTAGCGGAGTTTTCTTTCATTGTCAACTTGACCATGCCTCAGAATTTAAAGTTTAACCCTGACAGATAAGTAATTGTGGGTTGTTTCAGTGTCCTGGAACAAAACAGACCATCTATCTGGTATTTAAAGTCAGTACTCTTCAAATACTGCACATGTGTTGGGTGGTGAGGGAGGGATGCAGTTAGTGGATTATCTCCTTCTCTTTCCTCTTCCTACAATGCTTTGGCCCATTTGCTGTACAACAAAAGGGAAATGCAGACAGGAGTGAGAAAACTCAGCCCAGTCAGGTTGGAAATTAGAATTTTAATCAGTATCTATAAAGAACTTCAACGAAGCCACAGTCACAATCTCATCAAAAAGCACACACAAAAAAGGTTAAACTAAATATCTATGAATTTTACACATCTACTATTGCCTGGGAAATTAAAAAAATTAGTTTTGTCTAATAGTAACATTATCATGATTTTATTTATTATTAATTAGATGACAAAAGAGAGGCTTAGCATTTACTGACCAGAATTATGCCTCCTAGTTATGGTTTGTAAGGAAAGAGAGTAAAATTAAGATGATAATACTAATACAAATACTACTACTACTACTACTGCTACTGCTAATGATAATAGTAATGATATTACTGCTACTACTACTAATTATTATTATTATTTCATGTGTGTGGGTAGTTTCCCTGTATGTATGTCTGTGTCTAGTGCCCAGCAAAGCTAGAAGAGGTTGTTGGCTCCCCTAGAACTGGAGTTACAGATTATTGGGAGCCACCATGTGGATGCTGGGTATTGAACCCAGTTCCTCTGGAAGAGCATCCAGTGCTCTTACCTGCTAAGCCATCTCTTCAGTCCCTTTTTCCAAGTTCTTAAGGATATATACTTTAACACCATATCCAGAGTTTTGAAAAAACAGACACTGTTCCAAGGTTAAGAACTGCTTCCCCCTGCTAATCTTGAGCTGTGTTATTTCCTGGTAAGGTTAACCAGCAGTGGTATCAGCACAATGGTGACCAGCCACATAGCTTATCTTGAGGAACTATTTTAATCACAGTGCTTGCTGGCTTACATACAAATCTGTCACAAAGAGGTCATCTTTCATCTTTGCTTCCTTCTGATTTATTTTATTTTATTTTATGTGCATTGGTGTTTTGTCTGCATGCATGTCTGTATGAGTGTGTTGGATTACCTGGAGCTGGAGGTACAGTGAGCTACATAGTGGGTGCTGGGAATTGAACCTGGGTCCTCTAGAAGAGCAGCCAGAGATTTTAATGTCTGAGCCATCTCTCCAGCCTCTGTTTCCTTTGCTTAACTGGCTTTTCTCAGTCATATCCTTCCTTGTCAGTCACTTTGTACGAATACCAAATGGTCTCTAATATCACATTCATCTTCACAAGTTATTTATTCATGTAACATTTACAGTTTACATTGTAGCAGAGTGTCTAACAAAGACCTTGTTGTGAGAGAGCATAGCCAGGTGCAGGTGTCAGCAGGGAGAGTCTGAGGGTGAGGTTAGTGTGTGGTGGGTCATTAGCAAACTTTATACTATCCTGCCTTTTGTATGGCATGAAGCTTTCTTCCTGCCTGGTTGTGGAAACGAAATCGTTGGAGAACACACAGCTGCTGAACACACAGCACCTGCCAGGAATGCATCTAAGCAAAACGCTCACTGCCGAGTCCAGTTGAGTCCCAGAACTGGCCAGGGCTGCCTATACCGTCGGAGACACTTGGTATAGAAAGCTACAACTCATTGTTGAAGTGCTGCTACATAGAGGAACTTCGGGCTAATCTCTCATCTGTTAAAAGTCTTTATAAAATGCTAGGTTTTTGTTTAAATGGGTGTGCTATCTGAGAATATCTAGCCATCATATCATAGAACCTAGCTCTTTTTAAAACTGGAGTACATAATTTCCTATTCTTAAAGGCAAACGTCATCGACATTGCTAGAACATCAGCACTCCTGAGTTAGTAATAGTAGTTTGTGTGAATTTGTTATATTTATTGTCTTTATTAGTTTAATCTTTTTGAAAAGCTTAAGAGTGATGGACAAGGCTGAGGCCAAACGTGCCTCTCCGAAGTTGCTCCCACAGTTCATCTTTCTAAAGTTTCCCATATACTGTGATAACTCTCACCAGCAACTATTGATGATGGCAAGCAGGCAAAGAGTTTGCTCGTTTGTTAGAACCACCTTCCACGACTTTCTGTTTCTGTGGAAGCTTCCTCCATACCAACACCTTCAATAACTCATTGAGAACTTTATACTTCTCTAGCTTCAGCTTCCTTGCTGAAAGAATTAACTTTGTTTCGTAAATGGCACAGATGAACTTTAAATGCTGTTGTTGTTAAAAGTGCTTGCTGGCCTTCTCAAAATTTACAACAAGTGATATTTTCTCATTAGATAATGGAACTTGGACTCAACTTTGGCTTGTATCAGAGTATCATGAACAGGGCTCCTTATATGACTATCTGAATAGAAACATAGTAACCGTGGCTGGGATGATCAAGCTGGCACTTTCCATAGCCAGTGGTCTGGCTCACCTACATATGGAGATCGTTGGTACTCAAGGTACGTATCTCCTTCCAGAAAGCTAGCCCTTGGATTGACTTTGTTTTAGTTCTTTACAGTCATCAAACACAGAGGAACAATGGAGGTACTTCATAAAAGTGAGGTTCTTGTCATGCTGCAAACAAGTTTCTCATACTCAGCACCACACGTTATTCATGATGTATTTTTATCCCTGGTGGCTCCATCCATACCATTAGTCCATAGACCTAAAGGTCTTCTTTTGCTGGCAAAGGCTATATATTCACATTATGCAGATGGTATAAATGCTTGCTTTTGATAATTAAAATATGGCTGGGAAAGATAACATGACCATGAAAGAATGTTTGAGGGTGGGTGGGGGTAGCTGAGGCAGAAGGATTTCTGTGAGTTTGATACCATCCTGGGTTACATGTGAATTCCATACTAGGCTGTAACTGTCTCAAAAAGATTTTTAAAAAAGAGAATATTTGAATATCCTACTTGAAAGTCAAATAATATTCTCTGCTTTGCCAGTTTACTGAGCCTGTAGGAAACTGACTCTCAAAAGTCATTTGTCTAAACAGGTCACCCAGCTCACGACCCCTTCATGCTCTTAGAAATTATTGAGCTCCCCAAAGTTTTGGTAACTGTAGGTTATATTCATTAATCCATTCCATATTAAAAACTTTTCATTGAGAAATTAAAAAATTGTGTATTTCAAGAACTGTAATTATCCAATTGAATATTAATGGGAATAACAGCTTCCAAATGTTTTACAACTTTTTTTCTAATGCAATGTAGTGAAAATAGTGGTTTTGTTTTACATTTTAAAAAATAGTTTTACTATCTAGCTTATTTCACACATGCTCTTTATCCCATTTGTCCCATTATATGGTTTTGGTTGAAGTAATTGGAAAAATGATGACATGAGCCAGATAGGTAGATATGTAGTAATTTTAAGGACCCTTATGGGTCTTTTGTTCTTATTTGAGAATTGCTAGAGTAGAGTAGTAAAATTTTGAGATGTGTTTTATTAGAAAACATTTGCTCTGTTGTGGAACACACATAGTAGTAACCTGAACTCATTTATTGAAAACCTCATTGTTAGTGACCACAATTGTCACATGGTGCTCTGCACATTGGAACTGCTTGAGGATAAAGCAAGAGACTACCCTCACTTAGCTTGGAGTTTAGCCAGAAGACTGCATGTCTCTCCAAAGCAAACTGCTGCTCTTCTGGACTTGGGGGGCAGTCAGGGAAGATGTATCTGAGGGGAAGACATTTGAGTTAAGTCTTCTAAGTGACTGGCTTCAGAAGACTCCGTCTTCAGTAGGGGAAAATATGAATACACTTTTCTTGTGTTTTGTAGGTAAGCTGCTATTGCTCATCGAGATATAAAGTCAAAGAATATCTTAGTGAAAAAATGTGACACTTGTGCCATAGCTGACTTAGGGCTGGCTGTGAAACATGACTCAATCATGAACACTATAGACATACCCCAGAATCCCAAAGTGGGAACGAAGAGGTAAGATGACTTTCGCTGGTAGCTTACTAGAGTTTATATGATTGATCAAACACCATGAGTGCCTACGGTGTGTATCCAAATGTGAAGAAACTTAGGTCTAAAAAAACCCCCAAGACATCTTTGTGGAGACATGGAGAAGCCATAATGACTACAAAGTGGGAGAGCTGACTTTTTGTCCTGATGAAGTAGCCATTGATCGCAGAGTCTAGTCCAGGGTCGTGGTGGAAGAGAAGATGGCACGCCATGTTTATGTGACACAGTTTGGGGATGCCTCTCCTGCAGGAAAGAAACCACCTCAGTCATATATAGGAACTGAAGGGACTCTAGCCAGCTTGAGCATGGCAAACATGGCTCTGGCAGGCCTTGAACTTCTTCCCCATGCTCTGGCCTTGCTAAAAACTGTTAGATGACATTCCTGAAGCCAGCCACCAAGGTCTGTTCCCTTATTTAGCCAATCTCTCCTCCGGAAGCTGACTACCATGATCCAGCTATCAAAGTCTTGAGGTCCAGCAATCAAAAGCTTCCTTTGGCTCACCTAATTAACATGCCCAATTAAAATTAAACACCACATCCTAACACGCGGTTTCCCCTTTACCTTTATAAGCCATCATTTTCCTATTAATCACATCTGTCTCCTCTCTATCCAGAGGCAGTCCTTTGTCTTCCAGGAAAAATACCCCTGCCCCCCTCCCTTGTTCCCTTCCCCTTTTCCCTCATCCTCTATCTTCTATCTTTGTCTCTTATTCCCTGCCCCTAATGGCCAAATTCCCATAACATCAATCTCCTTTGTGCTGAGAACTTGGCCTTGGGAGTCCTGAACTGATACTAATCCTTTTAGGAACTCCAGCACTTTCATGCCTCATCAGTGAGCTACAAGTCAGGTCTTGATGTATAGGCTCAGGTTTTAAAGAACACATGCAAAATCAATGTATTGGAGGAGATAGGTTAGGGATACAATATAATAAAACCACATGTGTGATAGTCTATTCCCTTAACACACAAAGATATAGTGTATCAATTTATATCTTACCCATAGCTGGACTTGTCCTTGGTGTCCCAGAATGATGCGCTTGAGATAATATGCATTTGAACACAATTTTTACTTTCAAGGAACAGAAGATAATAAAACTAGGGGGAAGCATGGAGTGATAAGGAGCACACTCCACACAGCTGTGGCTATGACAGGCTCATCATCAGTCATGAACTTCTGGTGTGTTCATTGTTTTGACCAGCAGGTGGCTCCTTAGCTAGTCTTCTCTCTCTCATTTACCTGAGTTCCATGCTTCATGCTACTTTTTCATAATTCCAGAGCTCTTGAGCTAGAAATCACAATAATCAAAATATTTTCCTGAACTTGTTACAGCACTGGAGAATAGAGAATTTCTAAGGAGGTAGAGCTGGCCACTAAGCCAGCTGAGATTTCAGGACAGTGCCTGCAAGCCATTGGCTGTCTGCTGGTAGACATGATTGAGGTCACAGAGACATTCCAGGGAAGCATGTAAGAATGAGCAGTCTTAACGAACCCCTCTTCTTTTCTCAGTAAGGACACCCACTTGACTATTTCTGCATCAGGGGCCCTCAGGCAGGACTTGGGTGCTGGTTTCCTTTCGGGGAGTCCAACACTTTGAAAAGAACTCCAGAGTATATATGAGTATATATCCTGGGAAAACGCCCAACTCTGTATGGGCCATTTGGGCTCAGTCAGGTCCTGTGACTCCAGGACTTCTTCCCTTAAGCTTTGTTCAAACAAGGCTATACTGTTCTTGGCACAGTGTATAGTAGAATTCTTCATTCTGAGAAGGTATTTTGGAAGAGCATCTAGCCTTCCTTGTGTTGGAGACAGCCCTCTGTGGTGAGTGAAGCCCACTGCTTGTCAGACAGGAACTTTCTGTGATGACAGATTCTTGGGATGCTGAGTGAGCTCCATTTCTGTTCTTGAACACTTTGCTCACTGACCTTCCCAGTTTATTCTTTCCAAGTACTAGGCTACTGGCCATCTTGCTACAATGTAAAACTGTGTGACCTTTAATTTCATTTAACATGTTTAAGAATGATGGTTGAGTCAATAACTGTGTTTTTTAATTTCACCCTATTATGGTATCTGAGCTGTACCTTTGAAATTGATGTGAGCAATCTTAATTTATGTTTTGTATCACGATGCACTAAAATTGTGGTTTACTGGACCGAATCTCAATGTGCACATTTTTGAAGGTATATGGCTCCTGAAATGCTTGATGATACAATGAATGTGAGCATCTTTGAGTCCTTCAAGCGAGCTGACATCTATTCTGTGGGGCTGGTTTACTGGGAGATAGCTCGAAGGTGTTCGATTGGAGGTAAGATTTTGGAGATATCCTTTTGTTACCCTTCCCTTGACACTGAGCACAAGATGTGATTTTCTGTATTTTCCTGTTGGTACACTGGATTGTTTCTGAATAGTTAAGAGAATTCCTTTCAGTAATTTTATTTTTCAGGGACAGAAGTGAAGCGTCCTGTGGAAAGTGTGTGTGGGGGTATCTTTTGAATTCTGCTTAGATGTGGGTGACAGTTCTGATCATTCTGATGGCCGAAATGATTATTTTGAGTCCCTCAAAAATGATCTGATTGGAGTTTGCAAGCAGCTGGTATCCCTACTCTTATCCCAAAGAAGCTAAATGACTTGCCAAGGCAGCAGGACTGGCAGCCTTCCTTTGCTCAGACTTTTCCTCTTTTCTCTCTTGTGATGTAAATACAATACAGGGATGGATAAAATGGAGTGGAGAAGTGAGGGATAGCTCACCCTCTTGCCCTCTACTGCTCCCTGCAGCTTAGAAATTGGTAAGGGAACCCCTGCTAATGCAGTCTAATGAAATGATTGCATCAGTGGAGAAAAAGTTAAATGCTCATACACAGCAGTTTACCGAGTATTAGGATGAAGCCTTCCTTGGTTTAGCAGTTGTGTGTGTGTGTGTGTGTGTGTGTGTGTGTGCTGTGTGTGTGTGTGTGTGTGTGTGTCTATATGCTATGGCAATGAGCTCATGTGGAGGTTAGAGGACAGCTTCTGAGATTGGATTTTCTTCTCCCACCCAGTGGGATCTGGAAATTGGATCACTTTGCCAGGCTTGGAAGCAGTACCTCATCGGCTGAGCCAGAAACCTAAAAATTTCAAACCCAAAATGCTGTTTTGATAGATAAATATACTTTATTTACAGCACTGATGTTATGCTATAAATATGGCAATTAGGGTTATTTTTGAACCATAAAATGATAATATATGAAAATAAAAGTCACAACATTTTATTGGAGACATATTTACTTTATTTTATATTGTTATAAAATTATATACATTAATGCAGGATTTTAGGTATTACATACAATAACTATATTAATTTTACATTTTATAAAATTTGTTTTATATTATAAAATGTCATAACTTTATATAAATATTTAATTGAGTAATTTGAACTGAATCCTGCTTTATCGTGATATATTATTTTAACAAAAGTGAGATTCCACTTTTCCAGGATATGACATGTGCCTCGCAGAACTAAGTGTATTAATTTGAAATACACATCACTTTTGATTCTATATGTAGGAAAATTTATTTTGTAAATTTCTTGTAGGAATTGTTGAGGAGTACCAATTGCCTTATTATGACATGGTGCCTTCGGATCCTTCCATAGAAGACATGAGGAAGGTTGTTTGTGACCAGAAGTTCCGACCAAATATCCCAAATCAGTGGCAAAGCTGTGAAGTAAGGCTATTTATTATGTCCCCCCTCCAGCGTCCTCTTCCTCCTCCCTCCTCTTTTTCCCTCTCCACCTCCCTCTTCTCCCTCCCTTCCTCTTGTTCATCCACCAGAGGTCAACACAAGCTATGCTCTTATGTATTTCTTCCCATTTTACTCTTCAGATTAGTATCAGTGGGGATTTTCAGAGAATATGCGGTTCTTTCTTAACCCAGTTGCGTAATTCATACCATATATGGAGGGATGCCTTCTTTTAAATGTCTTTAGAGGGATTTTATTCTAGCCATATTTATTTTAGCAGTATGTGTCCATGGCATGAACCCCTGAAGCCCTTGGTGGCTTCTGACAACAGGGCATTAGTGCTTCTCTGAAGTCCTCTGTGATTTAAGTGATACAGTCTGGGACATATGTCTTCACTGAGGTGGCTCAATAGTCATCTTCACTGCTCCTTGGTGTTGCCATCCCCATGCAGTTTCCTGATCTCTGTATCTGGCAAAGAAATAGGGCTGCACACACTGGCTTTTGAGTGTTTGGCACAAGGGATACACAGTTTCCACTCATGTCTCATAGAACCAGTCACATTGTCCCACCACACTGCAAGGGACTGGGAACTGAGGGACATGGGCCAAACCAATGGCTAATGAATATTGTAATCGGTAACTTATGCCTAATCATCTCTAGCTGCCTGAAGCTTAACCCTTCTCATCAGAAAAGCCCCTCACCTTAGATCCCGTTGTTATCCGTCTTGTCATCATAGCAATGCAGGACTGTGACCAAAGCATGGTGGACACACAGTCCTCAGTCCTCATTCTGCCTCCCGTAAGCTCTGACAGAGGGGAAAAGGCAGCGTTCTCCCCTGTGATATGCTCCAGCCTCCCCTTCCAACCACTACGGTTTACTTTCTGATTTCTTTGAATATAACAAATAAGGCCATTTTATGTGACACTGTTACTTTTTATTTCATTATGTTACAGGATCATTTTATTCAGTTACCTTTTTACCCCATTTGTTTCCCTCTTCCATGATTTTAGCTCTTTTGTTTAAGGCAAGTCTTAGTATTTTTTTCTTTTGTGTAGTTATTTCAGCTCTGTTTATTTGAGAAGCAGGCTTTGAGCCTTGTATAATGTAAGTGAAAGAATTAATTTTTCTAACATTATTTGTTTTTTTTTTTTTCAAGATAGGGTTTCTTTGTGTAGGCTTGGCTGTCCTGGAACTCACTCTGTAGACCAGGCTGGCCTCAAACTCATAGAGATCCACTTGCCTTTGCCTCCTGAGTGCTGGGATTAAGGGTGTGCACCCCCACACCCGGCTACTATTAGTTTTAAGCACATGGGGATATAAACTAGTAAAGTTTAAACTATAATAATTAAATGAAAACTCGTGAATATACAGTTTGAAAAGCAAAACATTCCAAAATCTATGAGGAATTTACTGCCTTACTGAGTGGCTAATATTAATATTAATAATTTCTTATTATTCCCTGATCTTATTTATTTTGCCATATGTGTGTGTATCTTAAAAAATATTTGCATTTATGTACTTATGAAAATTATGAGTAAAGCTTATTACAAATATTCTTTTTAATGTTTTTTTTTTTTTTTACCATATGTGTGTACATAAGAGAAATCTGTCCATTTTCATTGCTGTGTAACATCCTTCCTTGTGGATACAATAGGATTTCTTTGTCTATTCTAGTATGGATTATCATATGAGATTTTTAGTTAGCATTATTAAAAGTGCTGTTGCTATATGTATTAGTGAATTTTATGGTTGCTGTGACAGAATCCATGAAAAAAGAACTTAAGGAGGAACAGTTAGTTGTAGCTCACGTTTGAAGGAAAAGGCATGGCAGCAGGAACATGAGGCAACTGGTCACAGGGTGTCTTAGTTACTTTCCTATTGCTATGAGGAGACATCATGACCAAAAGGCAGCATAAAAAAGAAAGCATGTAATTGGAGTCTCATGGTCCCAGAGGATTAGAGTCCCTGACCATCATGGCAACAGGCAGGTATGGTGCTGGAGCAGTAGCTGAGAGCTGACATCTGATCCATCAGCATGAGGCAGAGAGAGAGAGAGAGAGAGAGAGAGAGAGAGAGAGAGAGAGAGAGAGAGAGAGAGAGAAATGGTGGGAGCTTTTAAAACTTCAAAGCCCTCTCCCAGTGACACACTTCCTCCAAGAAGGCCATGCCTCCTCATCTTCCCAAGCAGTTCCATTAACTGTGGACAAGTCTATGGGAGCTGTTCTCATTCAAACCACTACACACTGTGTCCAGAGTCAGGAAGCACACAGAGAATGGTGATGCTCAGCTGCTTTCTCCTTTTTACTCAGCCTGGGATATCAGCCCATGGAATGCTTCACCTACATTTAACGTAGATCCTCCTCCGTCTCTTAAACCATTCTGGAAATTAATGTGTCACCTAGGTGATTCTAAATTCTGCCCAATTGACAATTAGACTATCCATCTCAGGGGCTGGAGAGATGGCTCAGTGGTTAAGACCACTGGCTGTTTTCACATAGAACCAGAATTCAGTTCTCAGCTACCATATAGTGGCTCACAACTGTCTGTAACTCCAGCTCAAGAGGATTCTTCTGGTACACACACACACACACACACACACACACACACACACACACACACACACACACTTAAAAAATCTAAAAAGAGAATTATTCATCACAGTATGTAAATATATATGTTCAAAAAGTTTGGAAGGTATACAGCTCTTTATTCTTTTGTGGTATCCACTTAGACAGGCACAGCAGTCTACTTATTCTTTCTTACTGTGGTCCTGGGATCTCTGGTATTAAGTTACCTGCAAGTGGTGGTGAGCAACCTTTTCTCCTTAAAACTTCTTTTTTTCTCACTCTTGAATGTGATAACTGCTCCAGACAATTTAGGTTAAATAAAAATGGACTTTGATTTTAATAAATATTTGCCTCTTAATGCCTTTTCTACTTACTTTAAATTTGTTTTATATTTATGTGAATGAACATTTGTCCTGCATGTATGTATGCATACCATGTGCAAAGCTGGTGGCCAGGGAAGTCAGAAGAGGTCTTTGTATTCTTGGAACTGGAGTCATAGATGGTTGTGAGTCAGCATATGGGCACTTGGAATTAAACCCAGGTCCTGTGCAAGAGAAACAGATGCACTTACCAGCTGTGGCTTCTCTCCAGCCCCTCTAATTGCTTTTAAGAACTTCTGTCTTTTGTACTCTGCAGTTTCTCTATTTCATATGGCCAGCCTTTTTGTTCATAGGTACTATAGGAATTTTGAAGGAACCTCTCACTATGTAGCCCAAACTTGTAGGAATCCTCTTGCCTCAGCCTCTCAGTACTGGCATCACAGCGTGCCACCATCACACCCAACTTTGAGGTTAAACTTGTTTGGAACCAAGACTGTTCTAATTCTAAGGATTTGTGACATTCCTCTCTTCTAGAAATTTCTGTGATAATATGTCTTCAGATAATTCTTCTCTCTTGTCTGCATTTCTATTTTTGGAAAACTCGTTGGCTGCTATTAAACCTTCCAGATTCTACTTTGCTTCATGGATATTTCCTACGTTGGCACCTGTATTCTTGATCCCCTAGATTTCTTTCCACTTCTTTACTTCTGCCTCAGTTATGTCTAATCTGCCATTTAACTTATCCACTGGATTCTTTATTTTCATACCAAGAACTTTTACTAGCTCTGGAAGTATTGTTTTTTGTTCCTACAGGTTGTTCAAGTTTTATTTCTCTTTTTTGTCTCCTTTTTTTTTTATTAAGAGATTTTCTATTTCTCTTTTAATGCACGTTTCTTATCACTGATGTTTTATGGATCTGATCCTGCTAGTTATTCTTTCGATTGGTTCCTACTTACTGGTACCCCTCCCCATCTCTGAGTGTAGAATTTTATTATGAGTTAAGGTTTACTGAGAAACTAGGGCAGATTATTTTTCTTTTCACCCAAAATTAAAGTAAGTGTTTTCCTTACAAACTCGGTTTTGGGGGAAGATTCATCAACATACATTTATTTTTTATTATGTATATTTTCTTGTATGTAAGTGGGAATGCATTGTGTACCAGGGCACACTCACTGCAGGCCAAAGGACAACTTACAGGAGTCAGTTTTCTCTTTCCACCATGTGGGTCCCAAGATCAAACTCAGGTTGCCAGGCTCAGCTGCAAACGCCTTTACCTGCTGGACAATCTTAACAGCTCAAGGTTTGTGTTTACATTCAGGTCCTTTGTTTTGGCATCTTTAAATCTTCTCTTTGCTTTAGGCTGATTTTCCTGTCTTTCACACACGGTCCTCATCTCTGATTTTCTAGAACAGAAGATGAGCACATGCCACTGGGAGCTCTCCCAGCTTCAGTGACACCCTGGGTCTCTTCATGTCTCACGCTTTTACATTGATTGTTCCTCTAAGAACCGTCTTAGTTAAGGTTTCTATTGCTGTGAAAAGACATCATAACCAGGGCAACTCTTATAAAGGAAAACAATTACCTGGGGCTGGCTTACAGTTTCAGCTGTTTAGTCCATTATTATGGACATTATCAATGGACATGGCAGCGTGCAGGCAGACATGGTACTGGAGAAGGCGCTTAGAGTTCTACCTCTTGGATCTGCAGGTAACAGGAAGTGAATGAACTATCTCCCACACTGGGGGTAATTTGAGCAAATATGAGACCTCAAAGCCCGCTCCCACAGTGACACACTTCCTCCAACAAGGCCACACCTACTCCAACATGCCATACCTCCTAATAGTGCCACTCTCTATAGGCCAAGCATTCAAGCACATGAGTACATGGGGACACTCCTATTCAAACCACCACAGTATCTGCCTTCTTTCTTTGCCAGTTCATTCATATTGACTTTTTATATTTATTCTAGATCGTCAATTGCAACATGTAATTATGAATGGCAAAAGCGGAAGTCTTAGTTTTCAGCTTGATGACTTTTTTCATGTGTGTGCACATCTGATGAAATGTAACTGGGAATTCATACCATTGCCAAACCCTTCCATGGCTCATGCCACTTTTTAGCTGTTTGGTTTGAGACAGGGCCTCATCTAGCTGGCCTGGCCTTGAATTCCTGCTGCTTCTGTCTCTACCTCCCAAGTACTGGTACTGTGAGCTTGCACCACAGTGCTAAGCTATCATTGCTCTTCTTAGAAGAGTTTGGACATTGCCATCATTACGTCTCAGAATCAATGATTTCATTTAAGCTTGTCTTTACAAGGTTAATGTTTGTGCCTTTTAAAAAGATTTTACAGAAGTTTGGCCTAGTTTCCTCAATCGCCCCCCGATTTGTGATTTTGCTTCTTCTTTTGCATTCTGTTGTGTGCACCTTTAACTCTTTGGTGTCTTTCTCTCCTGAAGGCACTCCGGGTCATGGGAAGAATTATGCGTGAGTGCTGGTATGCCAATGGGGCAGCCCGCCTGACAGCCCTACGCGTGAAGAAGACCATTTCTCAGCTGTGTGTCAAGGAAGACTGCAAAGTCTAGCACCACAGACAGACAAAAGGAAACTGGCTACAGCATCTTTTGTGTCTCCTGCTTTGTGTAAATGTTTTTTGCTTCTTTTTGCCATGTTTTGTTTTAGTTCTACCTCAATGATGATTCATGACAGTGTTTAGGTGTCTCAAAGGCAGCATGAACAGATAACTCTAAAGTTAAGCATGGGCAGGTCTTGACTTTTCCAATCTCCATGTTGTCATTAATTTTATTTTTAAAGGTGACACAACTCATTTTTTTTTTATTTAAGGAGGAAGATGTTATGAATATAAAATAAGCTACATAAAATAGTAAAATAAAACAAAACAAATTGTTGTTTTACTTGAACCAGGAGCACATAAATGTGATGAAAACATAACGAAAATGTGAACTAGGGATATTATAGGAAAATAGAACTTTAGAAGCTATCTGGACCCTTGAAAAGTAATGTTTGCTCAGAATGTTAATATCAAAAGCCTGAAACGGTGGAGATCACCAGCGGGTTCTGAGAGCAAGATGATTCTCTCTGCGCGTGTGCTCTCCTCCCTGCTGGCCACTCTCTTCATTACCACTACAGCATTCCCAAAGTAGTTAGAAAGCCACCGAGATGCTGCTTCTGATATCATAAAGAAGTCCCTGATGTCTTGAACACTGTGAACTGTTTCAGAGTCATGGAGCTCGTGCCAGAGATGGTGACAAAGCCTGGGACAACAAACACTGTGAAGTTGGCTGGCCCTCCACATTCCCTTCAGGTCCCACAGTTCTTTTCTTCCTAAGTGGGAGGGAGCATCTTCAGTCATGATATTTTTAATTTAGTCATAGAGATACTATATTGAGTATTTTGTAAGACCATAACGGATTTGCTAGAATTTCAAAACCAATCTACTATCATTTCCTCATAAAAATGTCATCGTTATCCCATTCTTTAATGAGAAAAATGTTTTCTGAACATTGCCAAAGACTGACCAAGTATAAACATATATTGTCTAGAGATGTATATCTTAAGATGTAATTACTTTGGGGGTACATATTTAGAAATAAAATGACGAGAAGATAAACAAGGAAAGATTTTGAGAAAAATCAAGAGAACTCTTCCAGAAGAGTTTAACCTCTGACTGGTACAGAGAGGACCACATTGGTTATTAGAAGACATTCTTGGCCTTTTAAGGGAACTGTGAGTAGAGAGTTTTGGAGGCTCTGCCTCTATTCTCCTTTTTTGAGGTATGAAATATTTAACAGGACACCTGATATTTCATTCCAATGTACTATACTGCTTTAGTAAAGGTGATTTAACATGTCCTTCAGTGTTCCCAAACTCCATTACTCAGAACGTTCTTCTGCCTAGATGTGTTCTCTGGCAGCATCTTGAAGAGTGATGCTGCACACTAGCACATCCCATTCTTTGAGGGTCCTGGCAGTAAAGACACATTACCTGGATATTTTTAAGGCCAAGTATTTGGTCAAGCATAATGCAGTCTTTTCATTACAGGTAGGACAAAATTTTACTTTCCGGCGTTTAGATGTTCTACACAGTATAACATGAGGGGTCCCGTTCTGAAGGATGCACCTAAGTTTTCCACAAGAGTACAACTTTATGTGTACATTTCACCTTGGCAATATGATATGGGATTCATTTCATTTGACTAGGTTGAGATAAGAGAAACAAAATGCCTTGATGACTATGGGGTTTGCCTATATTTCCATTCTCAATCATACATTCATCCATTTATAAGCACAGAGCACCCCATAACTCACTTGCCACAATATTGGGTACAAGAGGGAATAAAAAGATAGATAGGTCCTGCCCTCAGGGATTTTAAAGTCTAATTTGGGAGTGGGAAAAAGCATATGAGTATGAGGGAAGAAAGTAAATTGACAGATAAAATATGCAGTGGGATGTCTTGAGTTCTGTGTGACAATGCTTTCTAGAATAGGTCTGAAAAAAATCACTTCCAATTTGCAACACATTTAGAAAGGATCTTTATTTAGATATTACAGTCTAATTATATTATCAGTATCGAAAAGGTGCGCCTATGTGAATGGATGTTAAAAGGAACTGTGTGAAGGGGTGATCTGGCTTGTGTTTATTACCTTATTTCACACAGTTTCTGCATGAAGGAAATGAAATGATTGACTTAGATGATTGTATTCAAATCTTTAATAAAAACTTAATACATCCTGTCCTATTTACCACTGCTTTGTGAATATACTTACTAGATTTTTAAGAGAGGGTGTTTTAGCATCTTTATTTTTTTGTCATTATGTTTTATAATTTATTTGAGAGTATGAGAATGTAACTTATATTTTATTGATTCAGATCTCACTGTGGAGAAATCTGCACATTGGTGTGTTCTGAGACATTTCGCTTGTTCTTTTGCTGCTGAACTGTAATTCCTAAGTAAATAATCTTAAAGGGACAGAGCAGCAAATGTGTAAGGGAAACAGTAGAACTCGTAGTTTTTCCTTAACTCTCAACACAGTTAGACATAGAAACTGCTCACTTATTAAAAATAGAGTAACATTTAGAAAATAAGGCAGATTTACTGTACATACCTATGCAGTTCAATTTTATACTACATGTTTTAAATGGAATGTCATGTAATAATTGTTCCTTTTAAATATTGTTGTGAGCAAAAGTATCTCCTTAGGCTAGGTGCACAGTGACATCATTGTTTTGCGCCTTATGGATATTTTGGCTCTGGGTATAGCATAGAGCTTAGGAATGCTATTATGAATTTTAGTACTGTATGCAGAAATGATGGGACTTATACACAGCATCACTCCTTGAAATATGAGGCACATTATTTGTTGTCGACATTTGAGCATGAATTCGTTGCCTTATAAGTCGTGCGTTTAAGTTTGTAATCAGTACCAATTCTGTTGTATGCATTCTTCTGTGTCTAAAATATTTGGCATGTCACATCTAGAATTCTTAATATATGTTCTGCCTTGAGAGTTAAGTGAAACATGACTGTCGTGCTCTATTTTAAGCCTAGCACTTGCTTTTCATCTTTATACTTTCAATTAACTTTGCATTTTAAATTTCCATAATTGTATGAAAATAGTAACCTGATTGCAATGTCTGAAGAATTTAAAATCAGCTTTTATTTTAAAATGAAAAATCTACAATACATTCATTAGATCAGAAGTTTCACAATAACTTATCATTTCGAATGCTTCTAGTGTTGCAGAATGATTAAACAGAAGAGAAGTCTACTGTCCTGGAAATTTTGCCACCATGGGACTTACTGGGGCAGAGCAAACTCAGGGCAATCTTGGCATCTAAGCAAAAGTCCCAGGGAACCGCTTAATGCACTGCCTGAAGGCAGGGAGCGGGCATCTGCCACCATGCAAAGACCAAGAGAACAACTTAAAATTATATGACAGGGAATAGTTTTTGATTGATTCTGGAAAGCAAACATGAAATTTTTCCATAGCTAAATAAATTCATTTAAAATGTGGAAATTTTGATTTCCTATCAAGCAGTTAGGGGGAAATAACAAATTATCAAAATTGGTAGCTGAGGTCTTCAATAGTCATTTCCTTCATATGACTTTAAAAACTAACATTTACCAACTCCTTAGAAATGTTGATGCTTAGTGTCCTAAAACGATGTCACTGTAGTTTTTGAAGCTATTATCTCTTTTTCTTTGTGAAATGTAATACTTCACAGCTAATAATGCTGTGTTCTAGTTTCAGTTGTTGATACTCACTTGGAATTTTAGTCATTATCTTAGTGAAGACCGTCACTAAGAAAATAGTGACCGTCAGAGTGAAGAGAGCTTTAAGGGCTTTTAGGGTTGTTTTTTTTTTTTTTTCTTTTTACAGGATTCTTTAAAACTAAACCAAAAAAATCTAGAATGCAAAACATTCATTAAAAATCTAATATTAATCAGAATTTTATAGTGTACACATTTTTTAAAAAAAATTCTAATGCAAATTTTGAGGTGCTTGGCTTTCTTTTTGCCCTCTAACTTTCCTTTGTTTCATTTATTTTTCACCTTCTTTTAAATTTAATGTTCTTTCACCATCTTCCAAAATTATAGTTACTTTTTAATTATTTTTAAGCATAGCTATTATTTAACTTAACCATCATAGAATTTTACATTTGTGATGGAAAAGAAATCCCTTAGTGATCTAAATTATTTCATATATGCCACAGTGCAAAATGAAAATGAGAATTTTAAAAGTTAAAGTGACTCTGAGCTTCATAACTTGATTCCAATATTTTGTAGATGAAGAAACTGAAGATCAGACATAGGATGGCTGCTAATTATTGTAAAATGTGGTAGTAACATACACTTCTGCAGCCCAGCAAACTTTTACAAATTAAAAAGTTAATCAGCACGTATCTAAACCTGCTGTGTACGTATATAATTGTATATTTAACATAACATGTCGTTCAGTGCTGATGGTCAAATCCTACTTCCTTGTGCATTTCCATGAAAATAATTTGCTCAGGTCTAAGTCAGCAGGAAAAATGAAAATAGGCAAAAACAAGGGTTTTAAAATAGTCATCAGGCTAGGTAGACCAGCCCTGGAGTGCTGGTAAAATTGAAGATACAATTGAAGAGTGAGGAGTGTGAGGAGGTTCTCAGTGCAGGCTGGAGATGCAGGTCCGTGGCAGAGGGGCTTGCTTAGCATGTGCAAGGATCTGAGTTGAGTCCTCAGGGCTGAAAAGAGGAAGAAAGAGCAGGAAGGAAGAGAAGAAGGGAGGGAGGGAGGGAACAGAAAAAAATATTCTCAGTGTGAGTAATGACTACAGAAGCTTCCAGACTCTTCCCCTGCTTCCTTCCTACACACATTGGTCATCTCGCTTGTGTTGGAGTAGGTTGGAAGGTGATTTGGTGCATGAATTGGGGGGCTGTGTTTGCTGTCTGTCATCTATCCACTCTTTCTCTCCTTAGCTTTGTCTTTGGCACTGGTTTTTTCCAGGGCAGGTTTCTTAAAACCCAAGTCACTCCACAGCTCTGTCCTTTTGTGTGTTTGAGTACTATCCAAATTGTTACACACTGAACTTCTTAACAAGGCTTTAATCTCCCCACCGTGTATAAGAGGTTTCGCCTCATCAATTCACTGCTGATTATTCTCTTGGCACTCGGAAGAGGGCTTTGTTAATGGCAGACATGACTTTCTCTTAAACTTTAGTCAGATTGTCTGGTTATATTCTAGCTTTTAGCTAAGGCATAAAGAATGCCTGCTCCTGCTTTAAAGGCTGAATTCTGCTTGAGCAGTGACTTGAACAGACTGTGAAATACATGTCCCTCTGATGTGAGTGCTCAAGTTACTTCTGTGGTAATTGGTGCCACTGGATCGTTTTACTTCTCCCATCCTTTTTAGAATTGTTTATTTATTTATTTTCATGTGTTATGGGGTGGTTTGATGTGTGTGTGTGTGCACCATGTGCATGCCCAGTACTTGGAGAGGCCAGAAGGAAGAGTCAGGCCCCTGGAACTAGAATTATAGGTAGCTGTGAGCTGCCACATGGGTGCTGGGAACCAAACCTTGGTTCTCCGGAAGAGCAACTAGTGTTCTTAGCCGCTAAGCCATCTCTCCAGGCCTGCTTCCGCCAAGTTTTTAGAATAAGCCATGTGCCATGCTCTTTCAAATGTAGATTATACTGGAATTAGGTAACAATCTCCACTTTAAAATTTCTTATTGAGAACTGCCAGAATTCTTCTCCAGTTAGCTGTAAATGAACATAACATTTGTGGAAAAAATGAGTTCCAGCTCATCCTCATTTTAATACTGCCAGAAATGCATTTTCTCCTTGTTGGTCTATGTTATACCACAAGAAGTATCTTCCTGGACCCAGCACTTTCCACTGGAACACTTACTTCCATCCTGGGCTTTAGGAATCTGATTATTAACACATTCACTAAGAGCCTGAGTGTGGTAAGAAATTCACCTCCTTTCCAGCGTCCCACATGTGTATTCTCCACAGGGGATGCACAGCACAGGCTAGCTGAGGACTCTGGTGAACACTGAAATGGGCTCTTCCCTCTAGACATAATTCTATAACTCACAGAAAAGGACACGATGCATTTCTGTATCAATATAAAATGCCTGGGTTATCCATAATTAAGAAATTGGAGTGAAATGTAAAGATGGTTCTTGACATGCGCAAACTGAACACATGATTTTGAAGACTAAATACTTTAACTCTTCATCTCAGTATTCCCAAGAGTGGATGAGGCAGAAGGTTTATTCTGTTGACAGATTTTTCTTTCCCTACCCCAAATCATCTGCAGGAAGGCATGGGGACCTTGATTTCTAGCCATGCATTGAGTTTTCATTCCATGGATGAATCTATTTATTTGCTTTTCCTGTGAAGGGAGGCTTGTATGTCAGGCTCTTAGAAAGCCAAGCATAGACAGAGATTTATCAACATCCTCAGTTTTTCAGTGGCAAAATAGTAACAGAATTTTTAAGGATCTGGCAGTTTTCTTCTCTCTTTATCAAATGAGGGTATCTGAGTAAAATATTAGACTCCCGCTCATCTCTAAAACGGCTTATGTCAAGTCGTGTACTCTCCTGACCCTAGGCTGGATAAAATTATTTGCACTTGATTGGGGTTTCAGGTTTTAAAAATGGCCTAAAAAGAGAAAATTAGATTCAGATCTTTTTTAAAAAAGGATTTTGGATTGATTTTCAAAGCGCTAATACTAATTATACTTTTCTTTGGGTAGTGTGACTCCTCTTATACCTAAGAACATATCACACATGTCAAAACCATTGCATTTTGACATTGCAAAAACATGCCTTGAACTCTTGAACTACTGTGAACAGAGCCACTGTTGTAGAGACCTTTTGTAAGGTAGCTGATATTCCTAAGTATGTAAAAAGCTATCGCTTTCTAGAGACAGGCTCAAATGAATGTATATAAGGAATGTGAAAAAAAATAAATTGGGTTTTAAAATAAGAAGTGGATGATAAATTGTATCCAAAATGTGCAGATGGGAATTGTAGTGTGTAGCTGTGTTTTCATTGTTGAAGGCTGAACAGAGTTCCACGGAGTCATGGATGACATTCAGATGTTTCATGAATTTCGAATCTGTGAACATATGCATTTTATAGTAATATATACTTATATTGTTTAGAAATAATGACATTTTAGAATTTAGTAAGAACTCAGTGATAGCCTTCATACCAAAATGTTTAACTTTGCCAACAGCAAGTCATAAAAGTATTTATTTTAAAGCTTTTTAATATTACTGCATAACTTCCTGCTGCCTCCAGGTGTACATACTTCTCTGCCTAAATGTTATATTTTTATGTATGCATTTTCAGAAAGCATATTGTTTTGTAAAGTGGCAAAGACAATAAATTAAGCACTCCTTGCACTTGTTTCTGTAAGGCATAAAGAACTCTATTTTAAATAAAAGAAAATGTGTCATATGTTGGTATCCATGTGCTCATACTCCATTTCACAACTGTGTTTATATTTGTATGCTGAGTGCAGGCAGGGTACTGGCGATTGAGTACTGAGTTCTGGTTGCACTGGAATTTCCCCCTCCCCTCTCTCCCTTCTTCCTTCCCTTCTTTTCCACCAAGTTATATATAATTCCAGAATTTCAAAGCCAGGGACACACTTATTTAAAGCCATTTTTCTGAATGACATTTAGGACAATATGTTCTTAAGGGTTTTATCTTTTCAATATTTTGCATTAATTTTTCCCAGTTTTTAATTTTATGTGCATATTTTGCCTACATGTGTACAAAGTACATACAGTGTTCACAGAGGCCAGTAAAGAGCATTGCATCCCCTGAGGCTGGACTTTCAGATGGTTGTGAGTCACCGTCTGGGTTGTGGGAATTGAACTCAGGTCCCCAGGAAAAGAAACCAGTGCTCTTAAACTGCTGAGTCCCCCCTCCATCTCCCTAGCCCATTTTACATTTTAAACATAATTTATTGAAGGACTACCAGCTTGACGTGCTCTCAAGCCAGCCTAAAGGAGCTTCTATCACACTTCAGACTCGTAACCACTCAAGCCATTGACAGCCTCTCCAACATACAGAATAAACTCTGTCTTCACTGCTGGTGTCCCCACCTTCTTCTCCAGACTCTGGCTTCCTGCTGCTTCTTGAACTTTCAAACATATACCTGTCCTAGGTGTTTGCCTGGGATGTCCTTTCCCTAGGTGTGTATGCACTACGGGTATCTGGCAGGGTACCACCTTTCCTGCGCTTCCCTCATCATCCACCCTGAACTTGACCTTCCTTCCCATTTTTTTTAAATTGCATTTATTGCATTTAGCACTAGTTGGCTTTACTTTCCAACCTATGGATGGATATAGATTCACGAGGTCTAAATTCCTGAGTATTGGATTAAGGTATTGGAAGATACAATTGTGGTGTGTGTGTGTGTGTGTGTGTGTGTGTGTGTGTGTGTGTGTGTGTGTGTGGTTTTCGAGACAAGATTTCTCTGTGTAGCCCTGGTTGTCCTAGAACTCACTTTGTAGATGGACTGTCCTCGAACTCACAGAGAGCTGCCTGCTTCTGCCTCCTGAGCCCTGGGATTAAAGAAGTGTGCCACCACACCTGGCAAAGATACAGTTTTAAAACCTTAAGAGCAGTGCATTGTTTGCCCAATGAGACCTACCATCCCTAATGGTCTGTAATTAACCTGGAGAACATTTTATCCTAGCTAATGATTATTTGGGAGCAATATCACAATTTTGATGCTTTGGGGATTTGGTAAAAGAGGCAGAATACTATGTTGGTTTTACTTTTGCTAAAAGTCCTGAAATTCTTTTACTTCTTTTTAGTTTTCTTTTGGGGGAAACAGCTTTGTTAATAAGCACCCCAGTGATTTTTGTATTAAATTAGTACTAAACAGATTCATAAGGAATTTTTATTTTAAAACAATTCTTATTTTTTATTTACTTACATATTAAAAAGAACTTGCTAATTAAAAAACAAAAAGCAAACAAAAAACAACCACACACCAAAATTAACAAGACCCCAAGTCTATGTAGCTCAATGACCTTCTGTCTAGTTAGAGTGGTCAATCTGAAGCTGTGGAGCTTCTTGGAAGATATGCACTTTCACTGACCTGGGACCAGCAGGTGGCTCTTGTGCAGCATGCTCCTGAGAAGGAGGACTAGGAGAGGAGAAAAAGATGGAGACAGGAACGCTGCGGTCAGGAGGTCTTGCCCAAGCTGTGTCTTATGTCTAGCAAGTTTATTAAGAAGTACAGTATCTTATATACAGTTTGCAGGGGGAAACAGAGCAGAGTCAACGGAAGCTATAACACAGTCGGACAGAGTCAGTAGGAAGCTGATCAAGCAGTGTTGCTCGAAGGGAACACGGGATGTTTCAAGTACTCCACAGAATGCAAGCTCCCTGATGGCCTTGAGACTGATAATCACAGCCCTTCAATGGGGGGAGGGGAAGATGAGTTCCTGGGCTCCCAAAGTATAGCTTCCTCAAGGGCCTGGCCCCTGGCCTTTACTAGCTTCGCCAAGCTAATTTCTCCTCTGTACATCAGGGCCTCAGGGAAAGCCCTAGTCAGGCCTGGCCCCCAACATTTCACTATCAAATATAGCTTTTATATACTTACTTTCCATAAAAAATAAAATGAAATAAAACATTACTTTTGATTCATGTATCTTAGGCTGGCCTTGAACTCACTGTGTTGCCCCCAAAGTAACAGCAATCCTCTGGCCCTTCAAGTGCTGGGATAATAGATAGGGTCCATCATGCTAGGTCAATTGCTTTGATTAACAATTCCTAAGTCAATTCTGAACTGGTTTCAGCACCAGCTGTGTCCTGTGGCTGGAGAGACAGGCAAGTTATTTATTTGAGTTACTGTCAACTGTGATGAATATGAGATAACACAAATGAGCTGCTTTCTGAAGTCCAGTAGTGGTTTTTTGCTTCCTCAGGCCATCATTTTTCAATTTCAGTGTCTTAAGTTTTAAACAAAAATTTGTGGAGATTCATGCTAATGAAATAGTTTATCTAGAGTGTAAACTTGAAATTGGATACATGCTTCACCCCCCCTCCCAATTAGGATATATTTCTAGCCATTGGGGAACCCTAAACCTAGACAGGAAGTAAGATTTTCCAAAGGGCTGCTTGACTTCTAGGGGCAATAAGTGTTCTGAAAATTATTAAAGCTTGCATTGGGTAGTTTCCTTAAAGTCTGTTTAATTCCAATGGTTTCCTCTTAGAGGTTTTTCACATACCCCACGGTTGATAGTTACTACTATATCTAACAGCAGTATAATTATGATCACTTCTGTAATTAAAATATTTTATTATTATTTTCTTTCACCTCACAGTCAAAAAAATCTTTATCAGACATTGTTGCTAAATATACAGCAATGTAAGAGTCATTGTCAGTGATATTTCAATTCTGACTGATGAATTAAGTATATGCCATTTAGAAAGCCACCCCAGGCCGGGCGGTGGTGGCGCACGCCTTTAATCCCAGCACTCGGGAGGCAGAGCCAGGCGGATCTCTGTGAGTTCGAGGCCAGCCTGGGCTACCAAGTGAGTTCCAGGAAAGGCGCAAAGCTACACAGAGAAACCCTGTCTCGAAAAACCAAAAAAAAAAAAAAAAAAAAAAAGAAAGCCACCCCAGGAAAGTATATATTGTTCTGTGTATTATATAATCTGAAAATGATATAACACCCACAAGAGATACTGAGCAAACATTTGTTTAAAGAGAATGGTTTTCAAGAACTTTCAGAGTAAATTAAATAACTCCTAAAAGCTTGAAGTGGTAATAAATATTTAATGGCAAGAAAACAAGACAGTGGTGTATTTGAGAAGAAGACAAGACAGGAACACAGAAAGCAATCTCCCTTTAGAGGGTAGAAATAGAGCTATCCTAAACAGAATCAAAAACATGCTTGGTGTGGGTACAAACATTAAATGTCAGCGAAGACATAGGACCTATGTGTCAATTCAGATAGAAGATCAAGGAAGTTGACAAGCTGATGCTTCCAAGGCAGGAAATATTTGCATGAGTCAAATGTGAGGGGAAAAAAAAACCATGTAGGAAATCCTCCAAACAGGCAGGGATGCCACTTATGGCCCTGAGTAACCTGCAGAATGAATGGTGGCAATGTATAAGGATCGGCTCTTCATGCTGATGCTGTCCTTAAGAGAGCTTCTGAAGGTTTTAAGGCAGTACTAGTTGCATGGAGTTTAGCATTTAAGGCAGTACTAGTTGCATGGAGTTAGCACGTAGTCAAAGCAGATGGAAGCATAACCTTAAGAGTCTTGTCAAAGGAATGTGAAGACTCCTCAGTATCCTATCTCCCTCCTTGGTAAATGTTTATGTATGTTGTCACATTGGTGAAGGATTTCAAGACGGCCTGCTGTGTCTCACAAGCAATGCAACATAGTATCTCAAGGGGGAGAAAAAGAAATGAAATATTTCTTCTTTAATCACTTAGCATAATAATTATGACCCAGGCAATTTTTTAAAAGCACACGCACGCACGCACGCACACCATTGTAAAAGGTCTACCTTGTCACTCTCTTTCTGCGTGAAGAAATTTCCAGGTGCCACTGAACTGTGTGCATCAAATTTCAAATATAACCAAATCGGATTTAGAACTACTAATGGCTGTTCCATAGAAGAGCCCTTGCTTCAGCAACTTAGGAAATTACACTTGATTTTCTTTTGAGTGTAACTCAATTGTGCTTGAAATTGTTCATTTGAACCCTTCTAAACAAGAAGCAGGTGGTTAAATGCGGGCCCTATTTAACATTTACACAAAACGTTCCCAGCACAATGCACTGTTGCCCTTTGAATGTCAGCTGCCCTTCCCCTAGCTCTCACAGCCTGTCTGTCCTTCCCTGGTTATTTCACGTGACCTTGCTATACATCCCCGAAAGGAGAATTGACTCCAATGTAGTTACCTGCTAGGGAGTATTAGACGATTTTTATAGTCTTTCGGCTAAAGCTTTTAATATAGCCGAGTGCTGGTTACCGAAGCAGTTTAAGAAAAAGGAACTGCTGAGTTTGCCTTATTTTAAATGGAGAAACACAGAGTGACATAATCATATAAGATAGTGAACCGGAACGGGGAAATACAGCTTAGGTTCGCTAGACATCGGAAGCAAGGCTTTGCAAAAACTCATTTCAACCTTATGCGGCAGCCTAGGTCTTTGCTTTCACAAAATCCATGAGCTAGTTCATAGAACGCACGTGCCATAGCTCAACACTTCTTTTGCCAGAATATATGGGTGATACCATAAGCATCTGCTGAGAAGGCTGCTGCCTTGAGGCACTAGAAGTTTATATCTAGGTAGGAAGGCGATGTTCAGAAATGTCCACATAGTGTCTTTTCTTTTCTGTAGTAGTCTTTTATGGGAGCAGGATACATTTTCTCTCCCACTTCTCTCAACCCTCTGCCCTATCCTCTCACATCATAGAACCC